TCACCAGGCTCAAGGTTGACTCAGCCTTCCATCCTTCCGAGGTAGGTAAAATGAGGACCCGGATTGTGGGGGCAATAAACTGACTTTGTATAAAAAAGAACACCGCTTAGGGGGGCCCAAAAGCCCTACTTAGCAGGTATATACAAAAGTATGATGGCTATTGCTTAACGCATTGTAAGCCGTCCTGAGTCTTGGGAGAAGGGCGGCATATAAATCGAACCAATAAATAAATAAATAAATAAATAAATAAATAAATAAATAAATAAATAAATACTCCCTTTCTGTAACCCCACTCTTATCCTGTTATTCTGGTGCCTCTTGGGAATACTATGTTTTTAAAAAAATGTTTGTTACATCTATTTTCCTATTTACAGTGTTTCCACAATGTAACTTGTTAATTCTGGATACCTTACAAGATCAGTGTTGCATATATTTCATGAAGTATTGTACTTCTCTGCTGCTTCATGTACTTCAGAGACCAAAAAGTTGCTGAATCTTTGTTAATCTCCGGAGTGGATCTATTTCTCTGGAGTGGCTTTGTTGTCTTTGAATGTTAAAGAACCCTTAGATCTTTAAAGTGGAGATTGCCAGATCAATTTGCATCTGCTGAAGTGCTATGCACCTCCTAAGTGGCAGTGGCTTCTTGGTATTTGGTACAGCAATCAATATTAAGTGCTCCTGCTTCCGTAATTATTTGGGGATTTTGAATTCCTTTTCACTGTTATTTCCAAATAAGCACACTATGATGGGATATTACTTCTCACTGTTACAAGCCTGGGATTTTCATATGATACTTGATCCTATTTCTGGGTAAATGTGGATTAGGATGGATTTTAAATTGCTTCTCAAATGTACTTCTGAATAAACATGCACAGGACTATGATTTTTATATCATGCCTATTCTTACTTTTAAGAAAACATAGTTGCGTTTTAAAATTGCTCTTCCCTTGAGTTTTCAGTTGCTGTTTTGGGGAGCCCCTGTAGATATATTCTTGATAAAATTGTGGTGGTGTCTATAACTGTCTCTGCCATAGCCATCCTCCTTGAGATGTGCACTTTGTATTTTATTCTGACAACATTGGAATGCAGCATTTGGGACTATTTCTAATTGGAAATTGGACCCTTGAACTAAGAAAGTCTTCCATTCTTCTGCTTTAAAGTGAGAACTGATCCGGAAGAGAAGATGGTAAATTGTTCTATCACTTGGTCTGACTGAGTAGAGAAACTTTCCTCTTATAACAGAAAAAGCTGTCTAATTTCAGTTTATGAGAAGTAAAAGAAGAAGCCTAATCCCAGAATCCTAGAACCAATTACACACTGTTGGGTGCAAGTAAACTATTTTGAAAACATGGATCAATTATATTTAATCTATTGTATATGTTTAGTGCGTGTGCTTTTTCTCACATTACTGATAAATCATAAAATTCAAACATACCTCCCTGCTTTAAAAAACTGTTTTGTTACTAGATTCTGATGTTAGATAATCCGAAAAGGCTATTGAAGGAAGAATTCCGTCCTTGATGCATGGATGATCATATTAAGAAGATTGCACTGTCCAACAATTCAACCTGCTATGTGTGTTAGTCAAGAAACATGAAAAGTACAAAGTAATAAGAAGTTATAAAAATCTTATCATTTGAGTTATACTTTATCTTCGGAATTCAACTAATAAAACAAGATAATTGCATGACCTGGGGGTTATTGTATAGAACAAGAAATAGAAAGTAAGTGAAAATGGTTCCTGGTGATAAGTTTATTAGGAAATGGGAATATACATTTGTATGTAGTTTAATTACTTGTTTGTAAATCTTTTTAAGTGCCCATTCTTAAAAATGGATGTCACAATAAATTAAGTTATTATATGATGATATGACACCGCCATCACTTGTTTTCTTGGGATATTGCTAGAGGTAACAACAAATCTGTGTCTTTTTTATATTTGAAGAAATTTAATGCTTCAGGGTTAAGTTACATGGGCTCTCCAATGAATCAGCTTATGCTTGAACCATAATAATAACATTAATAATAAAAACACCAGAGAAAAGTGTAGATAGATAGATAGATGAGTAAAAGCATTCCGAAGTGTGTGTGTGTGTGGGGGGGGATATATCTGTCAGGCTCCAAGTCATGGATTTTGTTGAGTAAGTATTAGCTAAAAGTCTGATTCTATTTGGATGCTGCAAATGTGCATATACAAACATATTTCTATGGCTTTGGAAGGATGTTGAGCAAGTTTGTATGTATATCTTTGTGTATGTGTGCATACATTGTCGCTTCAGGCCACGATATCCTAGGGCAGTGTAACAAGCAATTCATGTCGACTCACAGTAAAGATTATTGGTGTTTTCACTGGGGAAATATTTGCACTCCATCTTCTTTCTATTTTTAGTGCCTTGAGCTTCCAGTTAGGTAGGAAGCTCTGGAGGGAAAAGGGAATGACAGCCCTCTAATCTTGCCTCACAATTGGTCAAGTTTACAGTTCTCATCTTATTTCAGATTAGCAGTTTATGTGAGGTAACTTTTTCTGTTTTCTGTATGAACTTGTATGTTTTCATCTAAATTTGTCTGCCTGCCTGCCTGTTTGTCTATCCTATATCTCGCTCTCTCCCTCTTCTATCTATCCTGCTTTCCCTTTGAATATGTTTCCTCTAAAGCAAGCAAGGCAAATAAAGGAATGTAGTCACTCTATTTAGAAGCATCACAAGCCCAATAAGGAGTTGTAATTTACTGTGGGAAAGAAAGCAATATGAATTTGTTGCCACAGAATTGTTGTTTATCATAATAATCTTTCTAGTGAAAAGGCTAATTTGTTCTTTCTCCACGAATATTTTAAATATGATTACCATAATATCACAGAGACTGATAGTCCAAAATGCAGTGCTGACCTTGAGTGTACTTCTCGATTTAACATGTGGTCCTTTAACATTCAGGAAACAACTTGCCTCAATTCACTTATTAATAGATAATCTGGAAATGTTCTCTTGTTCTGTGATATATGCCTGTGCCATTCAGATTCTTGAAATCTTTTACTATTCCATGGAACAGCATTACCAATGTAAATAGCTGTAAGATTTTTTCACAATATCTAGTGGGAAAACTCCATAACTAAAGTGAGCTGCTCCCTTGGCCCTCCACTAGTTTACGATTTAATTTTTACTGGCATTCCACCTCGTATTATTAGCTCCACAAAATGAAAGTGAAATAATCCTGTATTAATTAAAGAGTGATTGAATTCCCTCAATCATCTTTGCCTTGGCTTATTTAGACAGTAACACCATGTGGCTCTCCAAGGAAAACATGTGCCAGAAGAGTTTCATAAACAGGGAGAGAGTATGGGTTTTGTATTATACTTAAAACCTTTTCCCATTTAGACTTTCTACAAAAGACGATAGCAAAGGTTTTAAGGTGAACCATATATATATTCTACACTGTACAATTTAAACAGAGGTTGCTAGACCTGAAGAATCACTGATGCAGGATACTTGTGGTTCATTCAGTGTACTGTACTGATAGGATAACATTATTGTGATGTTATTTTGGAGAAACTTTGTGTTTTTGATCTAAAAGGATAAAAAGGCTGTATGGGGAATTACATGCATATGTATGCATATGTATGCTTATGTATCGCTTATACTGAAAAGCAGTTTTGAGTGTTGTGGCTTGTCTAAAATTCAGGCAAGGTGGTCATTACTTCTGCCAAATATAAATGAAAGCAGCGGATGGTTCTAAAGTAGTAATCTACTACCATTTACTGAAGAGTAGGCTAGCATGAAAAGAAATTCAAAGAGTAAGCTTGTCACTTCCTTTGTAAATGTGTGTGTGTGTGTCTGTGTGTATGTGTATAGGAAGTATATTGTAACCATTGGTATGCTGTACATTCTGAAGGAAATGTGGTTTTCTAACAAACATTTCACTCAAGTTCTTCTTTAAAAAACTAGCACAATATATACTTGCAAATAAATGGAATACGGAATTTGGATATGCATTGGGCCTTTATAAAGAAGCACATAAGCCCTTTTGTTATTCAGAAATAGTATTTTAAAAAATACCATTCTCTGCCATGTTTCCATCTAGCTCTCTCATATTTAAAGCTAGCTATAACAACTGTGTTATTCTGATTGTCATAATCAAAAATCAATTTAATACTTTTTTCCAAATATAATTAAAAAGATAGGATTAGCTGGTATAAAAAGACTATAATATCCTTTGGGGATACAAGCATCAATAAAAATATATATTTACTTCATAGTAGATACAAAATTTACTTTCCTGCTTAAAGATGCACAGTATCTTACACGAGCATACTAATAAAGATAGAAGAGATGTGAAGATATAGGCTCCGTTTAGGATACTTACTTATTTCAACCTCCCAGATCTGATTCCATAACTATTGTTTTGTGCAGGCTTTGGGTGGGTGAGATTTTATATTGCAACCTCTGACAAAGAGCAAAGAAGAAAAGGAGAAAGCATGCACTATTCTGTGTTGTATTTTCCATAACCTAGAGATTACGAAATAAGCATTCACCTTGATTTTATTTTCACAAGTCTTTCCTCCTCAAGCATTCTTTTGAGAGGAAAAAAAGGGAGCTGTAATAATAGATTCTAACTTGCCTCATTTATTTTCTCTTTTAATAAAATAACTGAACTGTAACCAGCATACCCAAGTTGAAGAATGCTGTTGAAATTCCAGGCCCAGGTCTACTAGAGGTGACATTTTAAGTCTCAGGGGAGAAGACCAATTGCCTTTCATGAATGCATAAATTATAATACTATGATTGTGGTCCCCTAAGCAGCACTACCATCAGCGAAGATCCATGTCTGTAAGGTGTCTGGCCGAAAGATAGCAATAGTTAATTTGGTGACAGGGGAGACACAAAATGATATGGATGAGCAAAAGGACTGTGGACAAGGAAAGCTGAGCTGTGAGGGGTGGGGAGCACAAAACAAAACAGCAGTTTAAAGACTATTCACAGCATATTGTAATAAATACATGAGGTAAATTTTGTATTTCTCACTTCAGTTTAATAAGTATGATGACACATTGTGGTATATATTGCTTATGAGGATTTTTTTGCGTATGAAAACCAACATATATATTAGAATCCAAAGAATAAGCCCACATCATGGTACAGGACAGTGCATCCTTATTGTGCAGAAGTTTGACATTTATTGCATGTAATTGATATGAAGACAAACTATGTTACAAAGTCATTTTTTTCATTAAAATGCTTCAAATGATGTTCAAGATGCTTCATTTATAAAGCATGGAGAAACTTGCTTAGTATATCTGTAGCATGGTTTTGTCTCACTGCTCAGAATCAAAATTTACATCTTAATTAGAGTCTCCGACGTAGCAAAAATGCTGCTGGTAATAAAGATTTTATTACCTGCTTTTCTATTAATGGTGGATACTCTAGTTTTGCCATGTGTATTTCTGACATCCCCAACCCCCCCAATACTTGCATTTTCTGCATGTATGAAAAGCAGACTAGAAACTGTCCATAGGATAAAGATCTCACAGGATACAAAGCTCAACAAAACAAAGAGAAGCAAACATGTCCTGTGCTTTTACAAATACTTGTCTTCTTTTCTGTCATTTCACTTTGGTGAAAGCCATCAAATAGATTTGGAGACAGCTGTTGTATTCCCATTTGTGAATGTCATTATTGTAGTTAGAGGAGGTGCACTGATTAATTTTGATCTAAAAAATACGTTATTTTCATCACAGAGTGCTTCACGCAGAGAGAGAGAAAGAGAAAGAGAAAAGATTGGATCAATTCAGCTGAATTAGTGACAAAAAGTATTTTCCAGGATTAAAATAATTATTTCATCACCAGATATGAGAGAATATTTTTATAAATATAAAAGAACTCTTGCTTTAGAATAATGATGCTATATTAACATATTTAATTATTAATGACACTTTCAGGACACAGGTTCTTCACCCATACCTTCATTTTTGCAGATTCTTAGAAAATGGGTAGTGTTGGCTCAGAGTCTGATATACAATGATTTACATCAATAGTGTATTCGGAGAAGGAGGTCATCGGCTCTGGCACAAGGCAGTCAGAAGTAGGGAATTAGAAGGTTGGGTGATTTTGCAGATGGGATGTAAGCCATGTAACATATTTACATCCATGTTGATCCTTGATTTTTGTGTGCATGTGGGCATGCTTGTAAATGTCTACAATTAAGACAATCAAATTAACCCTATAAGATTTCAATGACTACAGACCAATTTGATACAGATTTATTCAGAATTGTATCATTTTGACTTTTAGTGGCACTTCTGTCAAAGCCACACTGAATATTAACACTGCTGAAAAGTCTTATCCACTGCATTCCTGAAAGTAATTTTCTTTGAAATCAATGAGGTTTGAGTTAAAGACAGGTTAATACCCAAAAAATTAATTGTTCAAATTATAGGGGGTCTATTATGATTTCAATTAAAAATATACCTGTTGTATCTTTTACGATGTTTATATGCTATGGGTCCACATCCACCCACCAGTTTCTACCTGCATGCATTGCACCCATTTCTGTGTTTGCTTTCAAACATTAATTCCTCTAAAGTTCTTTATCACACTTTTTCTTAAAAAAAAAAAAAGTGCTGAAATACAAACACTGCTAATGTTATGTTTATAAAGGTCAGTAATGTAAACTTATTTAGATTCCTCTAACCGATATTCAGAAAGGCGAAATAGAATGGAAGTGAATTACATGGGGGGGGGGGGGGGGGGGAGGGACACACAAAAATTAACGGTCAGATCTTAGCCACGCTTCCCTTAAATCAACAGACAAGCAAGTCAGACCTGTTTATGCAGAAATATGCCTGGGAGCTACCTGCAACGTATGCAGGCTTCCTCAGAAGGAAGTGCCACTAAGTTCTAAGGGGGAGGGGGGTTCGTTCTACCTGTCTTTCGAAGTAATAAGTCTACTTTCCGAATGAACACGGAGCGTTAAAACAGACCACCCCGAGTTGGCCCCGCGCAACACACATCCCACGCACACATGCAGGAGACACAAGAAGGGGGGAGGAAGAGAAGAGCAGTACAAAATTATACCTTATGGCGATATCTTCTTTTTTTAAAAAAAAACCCGAGGCTGCACACCTTCCTGCCCAACCGTAGTTTAAGAAACGAGAAGCCCCGGTCGATTAAAGAGTTAAACCTAGCACACTCCCCACCCCTCACCCCCGTTAAGAGCTGAAAGCGCGCCGGGGTTGCTTTGCAAACCACTTTTTTAAGGCGCTGCGTCTTTTAGGTCTGCGGCGCGTTCTCAGTTGTCGCTTTCCCTTTCTCTCTCTCTCTCTCTCTCTCCCCCTCTCTCTCCAGTCCCCCCCCCCCCCCGCTTCGCCTGCTCCGTCCCCTTCCAGTCCCCTCCGCCCGTCTGTACCTGCCGAGCGGCGCTCAATCTGTGCAGCCTCTGCTCTTGCCGGCGCTGATTGGCCGACGCCCTACCAATCGCGTTTCAGTCTGGGCCAGAGGGAATGCATATGTAAAGCCCTACTTCATATTTATAAGCTCCAATCGGGGCTTTAAGTCCTTGATTAGGAGCGTGTGAGCTTTTGGTCCCAACTGGCTGTGCCCATAGGCTTGTCACCAGGAGAACATTTGTGTTAATTGCACTGTGCCTGTGTCAAGGAAACTTTGATTTATAGCTGGGGTGCACAAATAATGGTTGCCGAGCGCACATGGATTCGGTAGAACTTTGCCTTCCTGAATCTTTTTCCTTGCACTACGAAGAAGAGTAGGTACCTACCATTCTTCTTATACCCCCCCCCTCCCGCTTTCCTTTCTTATCCTCTCCCCCCCCCGCACTTTTTCCTTCTTCCTAATGGTGGGGAGGGAAGTAATAATAACAAATATATATCCAACGTGAAAAGCCGCTTTCAGGTAATGCCTCCTAGCGTCTTGCGTGCATGAGTAGAGCTGTATGTGTTCGTCTTGTCTCTTTTGTGCTGTGCTTTATCTGTTAATTCAGTAAGTGGAGAAATTGTGGGGTTGTTTTTTTCTCTCTCTCTCTCTCTCGACAATGTTACCTTTTGAGTGGGGAGCGGCGTGGCTGTCAGTAAAACAGCTGTGCGAGTGACAGTCATTTCTTATTCAGGTACTAAGAATAGGCACTTGGCTTGGCCCAAGGACAGAGTGAATTGTTTCAGCAGATCTCTCAGAAAGATACATTTCCTTCCCTTCTCCTGCCCGCTCCTCCTGAAACGAGTGGAAGAAAGCTACCGTCTAAAACAAGATTTAGATAATCTTTTGATCTTTCCTCTTTCTGAGGTTTCTTGCCAAGCCCGGTGGGGAGTGGGGGACCAGCTCAAGAGTTTAATCCCACTTTAAGGATAGTGCTCTGTAATTAAGGTTTAATGTAAGGCTCCAGTCATTTACTGACAAATAGGTCCATTAAGTAGCAAAGGTAGGGGTGTCTGTGTATATTTGCACGTGCGTGGGTGCCACTTCCTCAGCCAACTAGAGCTTTGTCTGCTTTTGACTGGAATTTAAAAACAGCTATTATTCTTTTTTTAATGCAACCTTATCCAGTAAAATATCTTGTATAAATAAAGATAAACATTTGGGCTATATAGCACATTTAATATTATTGACTGCATGTATGTTCTCAGAGCTCTGAACTAATAAACCGAAGGGGAAGAAGGTTTCCAAACCAGTGTATCGCTTCACAACTTTGAGAGCCTGCAAACTTAATTTTGGCCTTAAAAAACCCGACGCGGCAGAAGCTGGCAAGGGACTCAGCCTTAGACTGAATGCATACTATGACAATACTCAGAAGTGACTGTGTATTTTAGATATATGGTTACTAGCTGCCATTAGTGTCTTCATGTTACAATTAAATTTGAGGGGGGGGGGGAGATTGTAAAAAGAGTCTTGAACATTGGCATGTGATATAGATACACACACAAAAAGTGTGCCGATGGGTGCTATAATGTTTGGATATATGGAAGGAGAGGAAGAGAAAGGATTCCTTATTCACCTGCAGAAGAATGTAGATAAATTATATTAGAATAGTAATTGAAATGCAGTTTGTCGATCAGTCTGTTGATGTACAGTGTGATTTAAAATATCTTAATTTGTTGGCTAAGTGCAGTTGTCACTGTTCCAACTTGCAATGGCTAGCTTTTTTTCTGTGGAGAAGGTGAGAGAGGAAGAGAGAGATTCTAAAGTTAGGAAGATGCTCTTTTTTCAAAGACCTTTCTTGATTTTTGTTCTTAGAGCTAATTTGAATGATTAATTTTGATAAGCTTCTTAAAATAGATGCATTTAAATGAAATCAGAGCATATGCCTTTTTAGCTCTGGTGGAAGGGTCTTATTATTCCCACTCCTTACCACAATTAGCTCTCTACTTCCATTTCTCCCTGCCTCCCTCCCCCCCCAATTAAAAGTCTTCCGGATGGATCTGTGGTTCAGGGGGTAGGCAGAGCTATCTAGTGCCCAGGAGCACAGCGGTTTCTCTCTCTCTGTATCTCAATTAATAAACCACAGAGTCTTACTTGCTATTAATATTGCTGGTAATTGTACTTTGGCTTTGTGGTATATTATACAAACCAAACTATGAATTAAGCTACAAGAATAAAATAAAGAAGCTGAATATTTCTAGAGTTTGAGCTTTATTGTGTGTGCATAGGCGGGGATGGAGGGGTGTTAGAATGTGGAGTGATAAAAAGACAGTATGGTTTGAATTCTAGGTAGCCCACGTTGAAGAATGAAAAACTTAAAGCCATCTGTCACTCTCGCGTTTTCTTTTTCAAGTAAAAGAGAGTAAATGCAAATAATTTCAAAGAATAGTTAAAAAGAGATGTGCATATGTATGCATTTATATGTGACTTTAAATACTATAAATGAAACTGTCATCATGGCACAAAATCTTATCTAACCTCTGATTAAAATGTAACGTTGGCTAAAGGCTTCTAGTGCAGACTAAATTTTACTGTTTTAACAGTTGTCACAGCTGTTGTAAGAAGGAAAGGCAATTGAAACACTCAAAAAAGGGCAGGGGGAGGACCTCGTTTAGTACATTTAAACATGATCTCTGAATGCCAAGCATACAGAAGCAAATAGGCTTGTGACTTCAGATACTCTGTATTGTGCGTGTTATTTCCTTCCTTTTCCTCTGATCCTTTCATTAATTTGAATCCTCAATCTCTATCACACTATAAAAGTGCAACAGTTCTAAAATGAAACAAAGCAATTGCGAATGTCATAACACAATTAATTTTAAAGATAAGGAAAGAAACCAGCTTAATAGTAAAGAAGATAAAATGCACAGATGCCAACAAACTTTGGATGGTTTCAATAGTGAACCCTGATATCACAATTGAAAAGACAAAAGATGCTTTCGAGTCATGGAATCGGAAACTGCAAAGATTTTGGCACATTTAGTTTTTAAAATGGTATTAATTTGAGAGCTGCTGTATAGGTTTTTTCTTGCTTTATTAATATTATTTAAATAGATATTAAAGGTTATTTGTTTTTGTTTTAATATCCTCTCCTTTGCTGAATTGATCTTAAAATTTGATCAAGAAAGATGAACAATATTTGGTACAGAGGAGGAGGGGTAATTAAGTGAAGAGAAAGTTAAAACTGGTCACCTCTACAGACATAAGATCTCTCTATCTAATATAGGTGACACAATTTCTTCCTATCTGTGTTAATACAATATGTAATTCTTACGCATGAAAAATTATTTTAAAAATCATTGTCTTTAAATCTAAATATATATTATAATTGTGTAAGATATTAGCATGGCTGCTGTCTAAATGAGATTTTTTGGAGGGCTTTTCAAAATGGATCCTCATATATCTACTTAAATAGACCTTCTTATAGACTCATTACGAAACTTCCAACTTTGGATTTCTGTTTTTCATACATGTTTTCTGCAAAATTTTTGCAGCTGACAAAAGTGCAAAAGCTGGTGCTGACAGCTTTTTTATTTGCTAGGCCTGACCTTCTCCCCCCTCCCCCCCCAAAGTGGTAGTTGCTCATTTTAATGTGTTTATGGTTCTTTTCTTTTATTTACTGAGCCTGGTGTGTTCCAGCAGTAATTAACCTGTGTTATTAGCAAAGCCCTTGTGGATATTCATTAATTCTCTTGAATGGATGATCATTTTCCTTCACTGTTATTTCTTCCCTTCCCCCGACATACTATCCTGCTTTAATTTTTTTCTTAAGTTTTTTTTTTAATAAATGTACTTAATTTAGAAAATTGATAAATCGATGCTTTTGGAAAAAAAACACTTATAAAAACAGCATTCTTGAATAGTTGTGTGAAAGTCAGACAAGAAGGAAGATCTCAATACATTTGTATTTTTTTAAAAAAATAATACAATCAGTATAAAGTGATTTTTTTTCTTCCTGTCATTTCTTTATTTTGTGACCATTGTACGTTAGGAGATAAATTTTATTCTTTTCATCTGATCTGAAGTTATTCTGGACAGCAGTTTGTGCACTGAAAGAAAAAAAAATATATTAAGCCTTCAGGAAAATAATGCTTCCGCTTAGACTGCTGAGGACAGATAAGGACTGCCTCATTAGCCAAACCTCACTTTTGCAATTATTTAAAAACACATGGAACTGTACATCAAACATAGAAGATAACTTGCTTGTGATTATCTTTGTAATTCTTGAAGCCACTTCTCAAAACCAAGCCTAATTGTGTTACATTCTAATAACACAAGGTTTGGTTTGGTTTGGTTTTTGTTGTTTAAATAACAGCATACAAATAGCTTGGCAAATGTCCTGGTATTGAACATTTCTGATGCACAGTGACCTTTGTCTTGGTGCAAAAACAAATAGAAATGAACAGCACTAATATTTATTGACAGTCTTAAATGAATGCCCTCTTATGAATATTGTTAGCCTGTTACCAATCAGCAAAAATGCTGAATGTTAAGAAATTTAAAGTAAATTGGATACGCTCCTTTTAGAAGCTTAAAACAACTTGGTTATTTTCCATATAGTTTGGATTTTGCTTTATAGCATACACACTAAAGACAAAAACAATAAAATATTGGTCTCTGTCTAGTTCCTCTCTAGCCCTAGGAAGCTCTCAAGAGGAAATCTGTGATTATGCTAGACTGGTTCGGTTTTTATCTCTTTTACATTCATTGGCCTTGTATTAAATTGTCATTGTCCTAGAGCACATGAGAGAGAGGGAAATGAATTGCACTTCTTGACATTCTCTGACAGTGAAATATTTAACTTCTCTGTCTCCAATCATACTCATATGTACATGTTTGATAGCGCTGGAATGACAACCAGCAATCCCTGTTAGTCTGACATCCCCATTTTACAAGTTTGCCATCGTTTGGGAACCAATTCTCCTTCTGTCTCCCTTTAATACCAGTTTTACTTGGCTGAGGCATATCAGCATCTATTTAAATTGATATAAAACAATTCCACATTTTATCGCAACTGATAATGGTTGCATAAGCATGTGGCTGCTTGCTTTGTGCATGTTTCACTGTTATATCTGTTTGCCTATATTTGTGTGTTATAAACAGTGTGTGTGTGTGCAAACATTTTTGAAACTTTTTTATCTTAAAAAAACAAACTCCGTAAGAACAGTGTAGATATTAGATTGCTCTGATTCTCTCCCCCCCCCCCAATTGCTGGTGCATTCCTTTAGATAGGTAATCCAGATGCTGTTATTTTTAAATTTTTAATTTCATACCACAAAGTTTAGGATGTTTATCTTTGCACTTTCTAGATATAATAAAAGGTGTCACTCTTCCGATGTGCAATCCGTTTAATATTAGAAACATTGGTTTAAAGGGAAATTGAAAATCCTTTTTTTAACAAAAAACATTTGTTAATATTCTGATAATACAAACTTTTACTGTTTTTGTATTCTAAAGAAAATCAACTGTAAGATTTTGCTTGCATTCCTCCAAATTGTAAAGTGTAATTAAAATTAAACTATAAAATTATATTTGTTTTACTGTATGGCCAAACTTTCAATACTTCATTAAAGAAAAATAAAAATAAAAATTTAGGTTCTAAAACATCAAATTTACAATTAAACTTTATACATAGGAAATAAGAGCTCAAAATGTTAAATGAGCCTGATTTGTTCAAATAAATAATAATGTAATAAATAATGTAGACCCTAAAGCATATTTTGTAACACTGCTTACATTCTAATTGGAAATACTTATGTGAAACAGCTATCCTATGTTGTTTAAACATAGGCTTATTTCTATAACTTATTTTAATTTCCTAAAATAATTTTTTTGCCTAGAGTTTGCTTTTACTATTGTTACTTAAGAGTTCTGCTTTATTCTGTTGCTAATTATTTTTGAATGTGTATGTGCTTACATACCACAGATAGAAAATATATATGTATGCGTGATTGTAATACACACCCACACCACATATACATCTTGTGTGCTTGGAGATATATTAGACCTCTGCATTATGGCTTTCTCCTTTATTTGTAGTTCTGGCATAAGACATCTATAGAATTGGATTTTTAATTGTCTCTCACTGAAGTTTGTATTGAAAATTATATCTTGAAGAAGAAAATATACTAATTTGCTAATCTGTTCACTTATTTTCATGTGCACACACACATGTGCGCGCACACACACACACACACACACACACACACACACACACACATACAAAGAGAGAGAAGGGCAAAACTGATCCTTTATTGTACTATGGTGAATTTCAATGTCAAGTTTCAGGTTTTTCAAATCAGAGGCTTTTTCCCCACAAATGATTTATTAATACAGATATTATTACTGCACAATTATGCATGTTTGCTTATGAAGTTTAAATTGTGGTAGCAATTTATGGCAACTTAATCCAAGGATCCTAACCAAAATATATGTGATTAAGTAACTGTAAAGCTAAGGTTTTGTTTTTTTTTATCCAAGCTGAATTTGTACAGTACATTCATCAAACTGAAGATTAATCTAAAAGATTGACTTTTTGTAAGCATAAATACTTGGAAATTATATGACCATTGACCCAAATTGCTTATTATATAAGATGCTATGTTTGTATAAGTAGAAGATTGATCAGGAATGCCTCTGAAGTCTGTGAAGAAAGGGCACAAACAGATGGGCAACCAGCAACATTCCACATATAGGATAATTCCTCCACCTGTGTGGTAGATTTTTTTTTGGATGCAAGCCACTGAAATAAATGAAACATTCTTTGTTGAATCCCCTTGAAGGAAATGGGGAAACAAAATCTAGGTAGATGTTTGTCAGGATATAGTCCATTTGTATTTGTTTGCAAGCTGCTATCTCACTTATTCTTCTGTGTCTTTTCAAGTTTAGAGTGAGACAGAAATGCACATCTCCTTTTCATCATTTTGATTGGAACTACATGCCATATGTAATGTGTTTTGGCAGCACTTACCTAGCCAAAGAAAACAAATTAATATTAGCCATGCTGTGGGGCATCTGAAGTATCACAGATGTGTCAATTTAGCTTTGCTCTCTCATACGACTTTTCCTTAAACAGCTGGTTGAACTGTCGCAAGATGTTGTAAGGGCTACAAAGAGAGTTTTAATAGGTGTGATCAGTGATTGAAGGCTGTGGCTAGTTAGAATCAGAACATGTTGCCAATGTGTAGGGGCTTGTTTTCAGCCTTCATGAAAAAAAAATATAGGGACTCAGAACCTAGAAAACCTCTATTCATACCTGATCTTTCAAAAGTCAGATCTAGAGACAGTAAGAAATAATAAGGAGAAAAGCCACATGGAATAAAGTTGATCGACTTCTAGGGAACAATTAAATACCTTTCTGTATACAGATGCAAGCGAATAAGGAAATTAAGATGTGTTGGGTCATGGGATTTTGTTCCTTTGTTTCCTCATAATTATTAACAAAAATAATATCGAAGACCAATTCTTACTCTCTTCTAAAATCTGTCGTGTTTTAAATGTTTTATAAGAGTTTTATACCATTTGATACATTCAAAAATTAGAAAAATAATATATCATGGGTAACATAGCATGTTCAATCTGCTCTTCAAAAAATGTTCCACGTATAAAGTATCAGAAAGCAAGCACTGACTTTTCTGTTTGTATATACAATTGCCTATTTTGTTTATTTCCAATACATTTCCATTTTCCATGTAATATCTTGGGACTTGCTGTAGGTTTTAGCTTGATTTGTAAGTTAAAGGTTCTCTTTTTTTTCTTAAATATTCCCAGGTGATGTCAGATGAAAAGGGTATAATGGCTGAAATATACACCAGAGGAATTCATTTTGGCAAGCCTGGTCCATGTAGGTTAGTGACTCAACAAATAAATAAATTGTTTTGCTTTTTGTTTAGTTTAAGTTGAGAAAAGACAGAAAAAAGAGGAAAAGATAAGACAATGAATTTTGAAAACAATATCATATTTATAATCACTCTGCAGATAAATGTAATAGTCAATAAATTCTGTATAAAATTTGCATGGAGACAGATATTTTCCAACTTAGCATATTAATAATTCTTTTCATTATGAAGTATTTATTTTATCAATTTACAACATTTGTTCTTATTAACACTTCCATAGCAAAGGTATGGTCCACACAGGTCTGAAATGGCCTAAGGTACACTTTTTAAAACATTTTTTCAAAAACTGTAGAGATGGGAGATGAGATTTTTAGCATCTAAAAGACATGCATTAGGCACTGTATAGTTATATCACTGAATGATTTCTACTTAAGAAGTAGGTCATGTTAGCAAGAGCTAACACCCACTGTTAGTGATTTACATTAATATGAGTGACACCTGTCCCATCAATCATAGGGACCATAGTTTCACAGATGGAGAAACAACAATCAGGTGAATTACACAGCACAGCACACTTGGCTTAATTCATCTCATTGTTTTCCTACCAATCTGGAGAATGGTTTGTTCTGCTTCTGAGACTTAAGTCACAAGATTGAGTTCTGCTCAAGTGGGATCATGTCCTAGCCTTTAATCTGAAAAAATACTCCTTCAGAGGAATTGGAGATAAAGTAGTTCCTCCATTCTCTTTGGCATTTGGTGGAATAATAACTGTAGAATATATATTCCTATGGTATAAGTAATTGCTTTTTTTACTCATAAGTGAATTAAAAAATATACAAGTTCAAGAAACTGTAAACTGCGTCAGAACCTTGAAGCAAATGTGTCAAAAACTTGTGACACATTCAGAACAAAATTGATCAGTTGCTTAAGGTGCCGCAAGACTTTTTAAAAAAAAATTATAAGGTAATAACAAAATAAAAAAGGAACACATACAAACATAGCTGATACACCAAAATTTTCACATACGGCAAACTTAGAACAGTGTCCCCATGATAGGAAAATCAATTAAATCTGAAGTACAATTTTGGCTCCATTCATGCCACTTTTGCCCCACCTCTATTCTAATGTCGGTGGTCTTCGTTATATAAATACAGATTTCTTCCTGGCTGTAGTTTGAGAATAGTTGGAGATACTGTACACATTCTTCATATTTTTGTGGTTCTAATATCAAACAGCAAACCTGTGGCATGTTGAAATCAGTCAACAGTTCTTCCAAGATACAGCTTGTGTTTGATTGTGTGTAAATACAGTTAGTTAGCTGGGTTTATCTGATAGCCTGGCAGAAAGAGAGAGAAACAGGACAATCTGTTTTCAGTAACTGTGCTGTTCATACACCTGATAAGATTGAGAGTACTTTCGACTGCTGATACGTTTTGAATAAGAAAAGAATAATCACTTCCACAGGCACCAGCTTATCAGAAATGGAGCAAAATGCCAACACTTTTACATTAGCAAAAGTGAATGTTTTAAACAAGTTATGACTCCCCCCTTCGTTTAAATTGAATAGTAGGTTACTTGTAAGTATGCAGTTATGAAGCAGAGAATTTATTATCCATTTTAAACTGCAAATTATTTTGGTAAAGAAGCCTTTTTGTAACAATAACAATTGTTTGGAAGTAAAATATATCTATTTCAAATGGTCTTCAGAACATTTTAGAATCTTTGTCTCTTCCATCCTGTTCAGTGCATATCCATATCGATAGAGAGCATTAAGTTCATAATTCCAAATTTCACCATTGTGTTTTAATATATGAGATTTGAAATTCAATTCAGATCAGTATCTGATGTTAAACTGCTGAATTTCTTAATATCCACAACAAAGTGCTGCATTTAAAGGAAAAATAAAGCAGAAATATCATCTTGTTTAGGTTAATTTTAGTGGATATAATAAAATATATCCTAGGTTTTTTTTTTTTTTTTTAAAAACAGACATACCAAAAAAAAAATAAATCTGAAAATGGAGGATATAATAAACTGAATGCATTATCTTTTTTTTTTTTTTAGAATTTTGACTCACTTTCCAGGGTAGTAATATAAAAGCATAATATTTATCATGTTTTGCTTCTGACTTAGGTATCTTTTAGATACTATGGTAGTTTGAGACTGTTGTAATATTGTGTTTTTAACTATGTTAAATTTCTTCTCAATCATGCAAATAAATTTGGTGTATTCGGTTGATAAATTGGAGAGCAAACCACAATAGATTGATTTGGATTTTTTATTGATTACCCTCCGTAAAATCACTGTTACCCTACATACACTGTTATGTCAATAACTTCCTTGTTCTGTACCTCTGACTGAGACAGGGACTTTGAGAACAAAATGTTGACATGTTGATTAAGCACCTGTATTTGTCTAGTTTCAGTATGCTTTTTCAATGCATACATTTATTGGTAGGTTCATTTTTGCAATTTAAGCCCATTAAAGGAAAATATTCAGTTAGATTTATGAAATTTTAGCTAAAAATCACTGGTTTCATTTGACTGTAAAGTAATTTGATTACTTGAGGCGAACTTCATGCTTTCGAGCTATCGCTCAAAGGCTTCATTCTGTGAAGATGTCAACTGTAAATATAAAAATGCATCACTGAAAATACAGTGGTTTAAGATTCAAACAGAAATAAAATTCCCTGCCTGGGGAAAATAGTGCCATGAAAAATAAAAGAGAAGTCTTTCCTTCTATTAAAACACTTAGAAATAGTGAGTTAGAGCTATAAGACCCACCACACTTTTCTTTCAGACACACCGAATAACAGAATAACAGAGTTGGAAAGGAACTTGGAGGTCTTCTAGTCCAACTCACTGCTCAAATAGGGAACCTTAAACCATTTCAGACAAATGATTGTCCAGTCTCTTTTTAAAACCTCCAGTGTTGGAGGACCCAAAACTTCTGGAGGCAAGTCGTTCCACTGATTAATTGTTCTAGCTACCGGGAAATTTCTCCTTAGTTCTAGAGAAAACTATAGCGAAAACAATATTCTATAAATCCACATATACTTCATTCCCAGTGAAGCATATAGCATGTAATTAAGCAACCTCATATTCTATACAATTTGATTGATTGATTACAAAATGCTTTAGTATTCCTGGATTTCTCCCCCCCCCCCAGAATTGGCTATTACATAGGATTGTGAATTCACATCCAAGTCATATGGTTAGATTTTAAACCATAGTCAATTTGAGATACACAAGAGTTTTTGAAGACCTCTCATTTTTTTTCTTTTTTCTGCTAATTTTTTTAAAAAGTATCTTTGTCTTGGTTTCACATATGACTAGAAAAAGACTAGGAATTAGCTAAGAATGAATTATGTCATTCCATGCTCCTGCAGTTCAGAAGGAATATATTGCATTAACTCCAATACAGATTACAAGATTGCACTTACATCAGTCATAAATGCCATATCTAGTTCTTACTTTGTGGATTGATTTCAAGTTTTAAAGGTGTGGGGACTCCAACAGTCAGTTGTGAAGTTCTGAGCTCAGTCACTTCACAAAAATGAACTGCGGTGGAAGTAAGTGAGGTACAATCAGCTCTTCATTAAAGCAGAAAGCTTATTATGCAACCATCTTCCAAACAGTATATCTCTAAATAAATTCTTGGTTCTCCATTTGGAAGAGTTCAGTAGCAGTATACTGTAGGGTATGAGAAGGAAGGACTCACTGGAGAAGAGCCTAATGCTGGGAACAATTGAGGGCAAAAGAAGAATGGGACGCAGAGAATGAGGTGGCTGGATGGAGTCACTGAAGCAGTTTGCGTGAGCTTAAATGGTCTCCGAGGGATGGTAGAGGACAGGAAGGCCTGGAGGAACATTGTCCATGGGGCCGCCATGGGTCAGACATGATTTCGCAACTTACAACAGATACTGTAGGGTTAAGACTAAGTTATAATACCTGTTTTTCAGGGAGAAGGGCCTTGGGCCAGTTTTGAGTCTCTTCGTTTCGAACTGAGAAACACTGGCATTTGCAAAACCAGAAGGCTATAACCAACCTGTGTTTTATTAAGGTTATTGATAATAATGTGCTGTATTGGTTATGATTGTACATTATAATGTAAAGTTATAATATACTGATAGAACTCTGAGAGATTTCCTGCAAATAGCTTAGGTTTCTAGCTACATATGTCATAATATCAGAAACTAAAATCATTTTTTTAAAATTTTGTTTCTAATTTAGGGGATACCGAGTTGCTTTTTTTGAAAGAAAGTACATACAAAACTGGTTCTGGGACTATTTGAAAATTCTCCAACTGAATATAGGATCCTTGACACTCTGTGCCTAGGATCTTTGGCACTCTGATATAGCACAGGATATGACAGTGTTTGAATTCTTAGGAAGTCTTTTGTTTTGCAGCTGTTCTATGGTAGTGGCCCTTGAGGTTCATATTGAGAACAAACTAATGCACCGATATAGCGCCTATTAGCACATTATTGTTGCTAATAATGCCAAGAGAGATGAACGAATGCTGTCATTCACTTCTCTTTTGTAATTCTTCACTTTGCTAAAGAATTGCAGTGGGAATGATGGTTTATTGCATCCCCGGGAAAAAGGAAAAGAAAAACAAAACTTGGGATTGGTTGGCAACCTAGGAATGTTCAAAGTCTACAAAGGACAAAAAAAGAATTCTAGTTACGGTTTTTAATGTTACACATCTCAGCAGAAATAGTTTGTTTTCTATAGTTGCTGTTGAAATTCTGCAGATCTTAATAGCATATCAGAGAAACCTTACACTGATTAAAACAACAGCAATTCTTTCTAGGTTAAATTCCATAGAATTGTGCTCTTTAATGTTCAGACTGATTAGACAAATAAGATTTGTTTTTGGTAGCCATTCTGTCAATGTGAAGCAAAAAAAAATACTAATAATCCATATATGTTCAGAAGACTTAGCACAAAAATCATATAGTGTGCTTCAGAGGTGGGTTCTACTTACCTTTACTACCGGTTCGCAAT